ACTCTTTAGTGAAATCTAAAAAATCATTTTTTTGGAAATAGTTAAAGAAAATAAGACTCTTCTAATTTTTCTTAAAAATTTCATTTATGAAATTTATTTAAATAAATACTTTAATTTTTTATTATTATTTATTCATTTTGAGTTATTTAAATAAACCTTTATCTAGAAAAAATAATTTTTAGATCATTCCAACTCTTTGACGAGAATCAAAAATACTTTTTATTTGCAATAACTAAAAAAAAATTGAACTCTTTCAATTCACTATAAAAATTACATTTTAAAAGATTTGTCCAAATAATCAATTTTTTTCTTTATTATTTACAGCACTTTTATTTTATTTTTAATAAAAATAATTTCTTGAATTATCCTAACATTTTAACGAAATTTAAGAAATATTTTTACTTGTCAAAGTAAGGAAAAATATAACTCTTTATATTTTCCTTAATAATTATTTTTGGGAATTTAATCATTTTATATTTTATATTTTAAAAGTTATTATTTATTTTTTAGTTTATTTTTTTATTAAAATTATTACTCATAAATTTTTTTAAATAATTAATTATAAAAATAAATAATTAAAATCCTAAAAGATAATATAATATAATATAAAATCAGAAACTAAAATGAAAATAGAAAAATAAAAACTTACAAACAGGTTAGGTTATGGGCTCGTGGGTCGATGGGCCAAGGCATGGATCTTAACTCCCCAAACAATATTGTTTTGGACCCTTTATAAAACCTCATTTTCTATTTTTTTTCTTTTTTTCTCTCTATTCCCCTCAAACTTTCTCTCTCTAAAAATTTTTTTCCTTCATCAGTGGCCATAATAACCCAATTTTTGGTCAATTACCATTGTGTCATCAGTAGAATCTTCAAACGACGTCGTAAAGTTCAAAGCTTTCCTAGTTTTCAGTAGTTTTTTCATATTCTAATGGCTCAAAAATTTAATTGATTGTCGAAAAATTCAAAAAAACCTAGATTTCGACAAGCAAGAAAAAAAAATTTTAAAATCCCAAATGGATCTTTTCTGTCTCCCAAACGATTTTGCTGAAGTAGATTTCTTAAAAAAATCTCAAAATGTGTAAATCAATTTTTTTTGTTTTCAATTATTTTTATTTTTTTTGGCTAGTCCCTAAAAGGGGAAGTGTTAGACTTTTTTGGTTGTTTTTATGGGTGAGTAGTTTAACAAAATGGCAATGTTTTAATTGTCCATCCTTTTTTGTGAAAAATTTTTTTCTCGTATCCTTTTTATTTGTGAATTAGCTCTCAATTTATAAAGCCAATTCATCCAACAAATCTCAGATTTGAAAGAGTTGTGAAAGAAAATAATTGGATCTACTAATTTTGTTGATGAAATCTCAGTTACAAAGTTAGGCAAGGAGGCTGGTGCAGGTAACTTGTTTTGGTGCATTTAATGCATAACAATTTTTGAGGGGAAAATGGGAGAAAAAAAAAACTAAGAAATGAAAAAAATAATAATAATAATAAGTAATTTATAATACTTTAAACTATCTTGTTTGTAAATTAAAAAAAAAATGTCATGATGAAATTTAGGGAATTTTATGAATGGGCAATTTTTCAAAAAAAATTATGAATGAAAATATTTTTTTGTAAATTCCACCAAAATGTTGGAGAATTTATAGAATGTTTAAATAATAAATTTTTACAAAATTTGTAAAAATGTTTGTCATAAATGATTTTTTAAGGAATTAACTTGAAATACCTAAAAAGACCATATCATCAAAATTAAAGGATAACACATGTTCAATTAGTAGCATTCTTTAAGTAAGGCAATGTGGAGGTGCTAATACATTTTTCATTCATAATCGTACTTTTGAATCTAACCCTAATTGCATAGACCAAAATATTTTTTAGTAAATCTTAATTAATTTTAAGATTTTAAAAGATGATATTTTGGGTGGCCAATCACATCTTTATAAAAAAAAATTGGTGGCAACTCTATAAATTTTCATCAATTCTAGCTATCAAGTCCCCATGGACAAAAATTCATTACGACATTTATAATTCTATTAATGGAGATTCATAAGTTAAAATGTTAGATATAGTTTTTGTCAATCTATTTTTCTTTGAAACATTGCAATCAAGTCTAGCATATGTTTTTTGGTGATATATAAGTCTTTTTTGTATTTCAATTTAGTATTATTTCCTAGTTAGTCTGTTATTGTCTAACATGGTTTCTAGTATTTCAAGTACGCTTTAGTTCACAATGGCTTAATTGTCAAGTAGATTTTAGTTCATAACGGCTTAATTTTCAAGTAGGCTTTAGTTCTAGTATTAATTTATGTTTTGTGCAACATGTTTTCTAGTGTTGTAGCATATTTTGGAAAGTATGTTTTATGCAACATGAAAATAGTTTTCTTTGTATTTCAATTTAGTATTATTTCAAGTAGGCTTTAGTTTTAGTGTTAATGTATATTTTATAGTATTTCAAGTAGTTTGTTATAGTCTAACATGGGTTTTACCTAAATAATATGTTAGATATAGTTCTTCTTTGTATTTCAAGTAGATACTGGCTTAAACAGCCTTGTTATAGTCAAGATTAAAAGATAGACAACATCTTCATAATGTGAATGGTTAGATGGATTGGTCCATTATGAATGGTTGAGATTTCATAATTGTATTTTATCTAAGTTGTTGATATAATAACTTTGTATGAAAGATGTGTTTTAAGGATGAAATTGTAGGCTTTAGTTCTGATGCACTTAAATAGTTTTTATATACCTTTTGATTATATGCTTTAACTTTCATGACGTTAATATAATAAGCTTATTGGTGTTCCATAGCCTATCATGGGTTCACATATGTCTTTGTTTACAGGATTGTTATGTATGCATTATTATAGGTTGTTGTGAATGATATATGTAAGTTTACTTTCTTGCTAATATGATATTAATAAGATAATGCATTTATTTCTATTACTTGAATAGCCTTGCAAAACTTTAGCGAATCATGATAAGATTTTCCTTATAAACTAAGGTTGAAGCTACGGGTATAAATGATACATTAGTTCTCGCAAACTACTCAGGTTTAATTCGAATAAAACTCGAATTCGGTTAGATTATTATCGAGTCGAGCTCGAGTAGCTTAACTTATCGATCAAGCCGAGTCCGAATATTCTTATACCCAGCTCGAGTAGCTTGCGAGCCTAATCGAGCTTTTGTATTTAAATATTTTTTATTACTTTAATTAATAAAAAATCTCAAATTTGAGCTCAAACTCGAGCACAAATAATCAAACTCTTGTTGAGTATAAGAATTGAGCTTATTTTTACATATTAATCGAGCTTAATCGAGTGAGCTCGAGTAGCTCGATTTCGATCACGAATCAAGTTCGAGTTAAAAAAATGAAACTCAATCGAGTTTGAGCCGAGTATCAAGCCACGAGTTGGGAGTTAGGAGTCAAGCTCGAGCTTCTCACTGTATCAGCTTGACTCAACTCGATTACACCCCTAATTGAAACCATAAATAAGGCAAATGGCATGTTTTTCTCAAAAGAGGTTTTGTTTATTCCATACTTTTCAATGTAATCCTTCAATTTTTTTGCCAATCTATTCCCATTCTCTTTTGTGGTGAAGTTTATGGTTATTTTTTATAACTTAGACAACTTACTTTCATTGAACAATTATAACTCTGAAAATTATTTCATTAGAACATGTTTTGCGCAAGTGGCTTGTTCAACTTCTTAGGGCTCTTTACTATTTGCACTTAATCATATTCCCCAAGTCTTCTACTAATAATATTTTGTTTCATTTTATTTTTTTTTTTTGAGTGTTTGAACATCTTTGTGACAAAAGATCAAAATCAAGACATTCGTTTTGTATGTACTACCAAATGCTTGCATGAGATGTTTAATGTATATGTATTGTATTTTTTGTTTTTTTCTATTAATTAGAATTCATAAATAATTTTATAAAATATTGTTATATTCTTTTGTAAATAAAATGTAGTATGTTGTTTATTAATTTTTTCTATTTATGTATATCTTAATATTCATTTAATTACTTTAGAAAACAAATTTAAAAATTTAGAATAAAATGACAAAAATTATAAATTAAATATTATTAAATATTATTTAAAAAGTATTACTGATGAAAATATTAATATTATCGATGAATTTTTTTGTAAAATTATAAATTAATTTTGAAAAAGAAAGAATTATTAAAATAATATACCAAATGAAAAAATTATTATTACCAACAAAACATTTTATTGCTAATTTACCGACCTAATTTTGTAATACCAACGAAATTATATTATTGACTTTGCTAACATTGATGAAATTTTTTCATCAATAAATCCATAGATAATATTATTACCAACAAAAAATGAAGCATTACCGATTGAAATTTCATTGATAATACTTCATTTTTCAGTAGTGTTTATTATTAATTACATGAATATAATATTTGATTATAATTATATCTTTTTATTATTAAATTTTAATTTTATAAAAAAAAAAAAAAAAAAAAGAAGCACAAGAGTTTGTAATTTTTGTAACATCCGAATCAATGTGCTGTAAACCAAGTGCTGGCCTCAAAATTACAGGAAAGCCTCAGCCCAACCTGAAATAATATGAAAATTATTGCAATTTGCGCTCCTTTGAGCACCCAAAAAAAAACAAGTTCCCAATCCCCTCACTCACTGTAATTCAAGTTGAAAGTCAACTGTACTACAATGAGCAAAGATTCCTATGAAATAATGCAAAAATTTCAATCTCTTTCCCTAAAATTGCATTTGCTCCTAAATTAGTAAATTACATTCCTTTTTTATCCTAAAAATATATATGTATCTAAGCTACGCATTAGGAAATTTGACTATGATTTTGTCCTAATAGTCATAATCCAATTTCGAAGTCCTAATACGGCGCCGCTTTGAAAGCAAATCAAACAAGTCCAAGTATTAAATAATAACTGTATTCGTAATACTAAAACAAAACGAAACAAAGCCAGACATGAGAAAATCAAGTTGGCAGCCAAAAATGCAAAAACAGCAACAGCGCTGAGCTGCTCTTTTTCTCTCTCTTCTTTATCCCCAAATGGCAGCTTCCTCCTCCATTCCCTTTACTCTTCGTCTAGCCTCCGTTTCCAAAAAGAAAACAGCCCTTACTCTAAGCCAAAGTGTCAAAACGCGCAGCAGCTCTGCCATGAAGAAGCATCTCGTTTTTTTAACTTGCTCACTTTTACTCTTTAACTTCTTCCTTTTTTTCGCCATCGAAGATGACATCACTTGTCTCCAAGGCCTGAAAAGCTCCCTCAACGACCCGGAATCCCGTCTTTCCACGTGGAGCTTCACCAACAGCTCATCAACCTCCGTTTGCAATCTCACCGGCGTCTCATGCTGGAATGACAAGGAAAACCGAATCATTAGCCTCCAACTCTCTTCCATGAAGCTGTCGGGTCAGTTGCCGGACTCTTTGAAGTACTGTCGGAGCCTCCAGAATCTATATCTTTCCAATAACTCTCTCTCCGGTCCCATTCCTAACGATATCTGCTCTTGGCTTCCTTATCTCGTACGTCTCGATCTCTCCGGTAACCGTCTCTCCGGTTCTATCCCTCCTCAGATCGTTAACTGTAAGTTCCTAAACGACCTCGTTTTAGACGATAACAAGTTGTCCGGTTCGATCCCTTACGAGCTTGCCAGGTTGGACCGGCTTAAACGGTTTTCCGTTGCGGATAACGACTTGTCCGGCTCGATCCCGTCTGATCTGGCGAGATTCGGCAAGTACGGTTTTGACGGTAACAGTGGACTTTGTGGGAAACCTTTATGGAAATGCGGTGGATTGAGCGGTAAAAATCTTGGAATTATCATAATAGCCGGTGTCATCGGGGCCGCCGTTTCGTTAATCGTCGGTTTCGTGGTTTGGTGGTGGTTCTTTCTCGGAGCTGGTGCAGGCGAAAAAAGAAAGAAAAGTTACGGCTTTGAGGGCAAAGATGATAGTAGTTGGATTGAATTGTTGAAATCTCATAAGCTTGTTCAAGTTTCTTTGTTTCAAAAGCCTATAAATAAGATTAAATTGGCGGATTTATTGGTTGCAACGAGCGATTTCGATTCGGACAATGTGGTGATTTCGACGAGGACAGGAGTTTCGTACAAGGCGGTGTTGCCCGACGGATCTGCGTTGGCGATTAAGAGGTTAAGCGCTTGTAAGCTTAGTGAGAAACAGTTTAGGTCGGAAATCAATAGGTTAGGACAACTTAGGCATCCGAATTTGGTTCCTCTTTTAGGGTTTTGTGCTGTGGAAGAAGAGAGGTTTTTGGTTTATAAGCATATGCCTAATGGGACATTGTATTCTCAGTTGCATGGAGCAAGTGTTGTTGGTTTTGGGGATGGGACGTTTGAGATTTTGGATTGGTCAACAAGGCTTAGGATTGGTGTTGGTGTGGCTAGAGGCTTAGCCTGGCTTCACCATGGATGCCAACCGCCCCATGTGCATCAGTATTTCAGTTCCAATGTTGTGCTTCTTGATGATGATTTTGATGCTCGAATAACGGATTTTGGCTTGGCAGGATTGATGGGGTCTCGTGATTCGAATGACAGTTCATTTATGAATGGGGATTTAGGGGAGTTTGGTTATGTGGCTCCTGAGTATTCTAGTACTATGGTTGCTTCTTTGAAAGGGGATGTTTATAGTTTTGGGGTTGTGTTGTTGGAGTTGGTTTCGGGTCAAAAACCAACTGGGATTAGCAATTCAGAGGAAGGATTTAAAGGGAATTTGGTGGATTGGGTTAATCAGTTGTTCAGCAAAGGTCGAGGCACGGATGCTGTTGATAAAGCCTTGTTTGGAAAGGGTCATGATGATGAAATTATGCAGTTTCTGAGAGTTGCTTGTACTTGTGTAGTTCCTAGGCCAAAGGACAGACCTTCTATGTACCAGGTTTATGAATCGTTGAAGGGCATGGCCGAGAAACGTGGTTTCTCTGAACAGTATGATGAATATCCATTGATCTTTGGGTAACAAGATCATGATTACAAGGAGTAAACTTGGTGGGGGGAATAGGATAAGAAGCAGAAAAAACTCGTTTATCTTCTTTGACAGTTGCAGCAATTGGACATATCTGTGCATTATGCAATGCTCTTTTTTTAAGGCATTTTCAGCAATTGGTATGATTTCCACTTGAACAGGATTCCCTGTTCTGTTGTAAATTACATGAAATGAACCATTATGCACTTAATCACTAGCTTTAATGCAGTTGAAATTTTCTTTATTATCCTCGTAATGCTTAATTCAGCTTTTGAATTCCTGTGAGTTCTAGGAGTTGCTCCGTTTCTGAAAGTTTCTCAGGTATACAGGATAACAGGAACGCAAGCAGGAAGATTATGTCAGGTTAATGTTGCGGGAATGAAATCTTATTATCAGTTCTTGTTGCGATTCAAATTTTGAACATTGATGTGATCGCTGTTTTCTGTTTGTGCTAGCTACCAAATTGCATTCCTTTTTTTTTTTCAGTCCCTACACGCGATTTATGATGCTCCGAGCCCTAAAGTCATAATCCCTCAAAAATACTCTCTTGATGGTTTATTTCCAAAATACGAACTGTAGCACATTAAATACCTAGCCATGATGGGAGCTTCTACTTGTAAAAAATTTTAAGATATGAGTTTTTTTTTTTTTCTAAATGCTAAATATAATTTATTGGATTTTCATATTCTTATAAGTTATAAAATTTATTGAATATGCATATAGGATAAATTATAAATTTATAAGTACTAATTTTCTTTCACGTGCTATACACGTAATTGTTAACCAAATTATAATTCTAATGTAATAAAATAATTTTAATATTTTTATAGTAATAAAATTGAAATAACTATCATCATACTAAATTAACTTGAAAATATAAATTTAAGTTTGCAAAAAATAAATATAACAAAAATTTTAAATTAAAATTTCAATAAAAAATAAATATTTAATCCTTCTTTATTTTGACTTTTTTTAAAAAGTTTTCTTTTAAGTTTTTTGTTTTAGGTCATCATCTTCATTTATTTTATATATATATATATATATTTTAAATTTTCAGAGGATTATCTTCTATCATAATCAAATCGAATTTTGTACTTTCTTTTTTTCTCTATTTATATTTTTTCTCAAGCTTTTTCTTTTAACTTTTTTGGTAATGGATTTTTATTTTTAATTTTATAAAATTTTTAAGCAATTGATCATCGTTGAACTCATTTAAACTTTTATTTTTAATCTATTTGCCATTAAAAATTTAAATTCTTTATTTTGATTTGAAACCATATTGTTATAAAGCTTTTGTTGCTTGAAATAAATAAATATATAATGTTTTCTTTTTCATGATCACTTACTTTTATTTTTAATATGTACTTTTTTACTTCATATAAATCATTGTGTAGTTTGATTTTATAGTAAAAAAAAATACATACTTACATTAATTTTACTAATTAAAAAATATTAATTTATAAACATATTATAAAAAAAAATTTAAAGCAATCAAGAATTATTAATATCTCAATGTAATCATCAATGCTGTTTAGTTATGTATTTACAAGGGATACTGATTAAAATTACTTTTAATATCAAATATTGATTTCTTAAAAAGCCGCATAACTTACTAAAATATATTCTAATAAAGTTTAAATAACACACTTTACTTAAAAGGTACATCTTATCATAATCAAATAGTATTTTTATGTTGTTCTTTAAATATTGAAATACTTTTCTCAATTAACTTTGGTTTAATATTATTATTGTTTGTTAAATAATGAAATATAAGAATTCTAAAATTAATAAGATATGACCTATTTTAAATAATATCAAAAGATATTATTATATTTTGAAGGTAAACTATGTTTTAAATCTTAGACTTTAAAATTGATATCGAATATATTTTTAATATTTAAACTCTTTTTTAATTAAAATGAAGTAATTTCTTTATTCGACAAATACTTAATTATATATCTAGTATAAATCATACAAAAAATTCATTATTTAACTGATATGGTTATAAAATTACAATTTATAGAATTCATACTATTATTTGTATTATTAAATCATATATTTTAATTAAAAATATTATGTACTTGAGAAAAAAAACTTATAGGTAATTTTTCTATGGTGTTTTCTAATAAGTTTAGACTCATTACTTCTTTCTTTCATTTTAAAACATATCTTTAAAAACAATAATTTTTTGTGTAGTTGCTATCAGTGTTATAAAGATACCACATAATACAACAATTTATTTTTAGTAAAGATATAGTGTTAATCTAGTTACCATTAATTTGTTATCAAGTAGACAATCAATGACATACAAATTTAGATAAAGTCATTCCAAATTTTCACTTCAAAAATTGATTTTTTTCAATAAAATTATATTATTATATAATTGCTACATGAATATTGTTTTAATTATTTATATATGTGAACAATATCAACAAATATTTGTAATTCAATACCTTAGTATTAAATGACAATAAATATAATTTTTTAAATGAATCAAATATGTTACACATATTTAAAAAATATAGCTCTATATAAATATTCAACAAAAAAAAAAAATTACTTAGCTAGCAATGATTTACTACTATATATTATCAATGATTTGCTACTAAGTTATATCACTAATTTACTATTAAAATATGAATAATTTATTATTAAGTTATCTATACTTTACTATTAAGCTAAAATTGATTTATTATAAGCTATCATTAATTTATTATTATTACTGATTTACCACTAAATTATAACTAATTTATCATTAAGTTATCAATAAATTATAACTAAATTAATACTGATTTATTATTATAACTAATTTATTACTAAGTTTTTATTTCACTCTTACTAGTAACTAGAGTATAATCATTAAAAACTTCAAGTATAAAAAAACTTATCACCAATTGACGACTAAGTTATCACTGATTTATTACTATGTTATCCGTGATTTATTATTAAATTATCAATGATTTACTATTAAATTATGAATGATTTATTGCTAAGTTATTGATAATTAATTATAAAGTTATAACTAATTTTCTATGAAGTTATCAATGATTTACTATAAAATTATCAATGATTAACTAATTTACTACTAAATTATCATTGATATATAAATAAATTATAAGTGATTTATTAGTACGTTATTACTGATTTACTACTAAATTCAATGATTTACTACTATATTATTATGCATTTACTAATTACTATTGATCTATTACTAACCTTTTACTAATTAGCTATTAATTATCAATTATTTAGTACGAAGTTATCAATTGAATTACTGCTAAGTTATTTATGATTTACTATTAATTTATCAATAAATTATAATATATGAGATAATTCTTTTTATATAATAACATCATTGTTTCATTCAAATTTAAAATTTTTTTACTAAATTTTTTTAATGAATAAGTTCATGGTAAGTTTATTCTAGTTCCTAATGATGAAAGTTCTAGCTTTGTTCATTCTAGCAACCAAGGTTCAATTATTGGTAACTTCAAGTATAAAAAAATATTATCACTAATTAACAAATAAGTTATCAATTACTTATTACTATCTTATCACTGATTTACTACTAAATTATCATCAATTTATCACTAAGTTATAGATGATTTACTTTTAAGTTATAAACAATTTACTACAAAATATTGATAATTTACTATTAAGTTATAGATAATTTATTATAAAGTTATTACTAATTTACTATGAAGTTGTTAATAATTAACTAATATACAACTAAATTATCATTAATTTATAACTAAATTATCATTGATTTACAACTAAGTTATCAATGATTTACTATGACTTTATTAGTAATTTACTACTAAATTATCAATAATTTACTATTAAATTATCATGATTTACTTTATATTATTATGCATTTGTAACTATATTATCATTGATTTACTATTGAGTTTTAGTTATTAACTACTAAATTATCATTGATTTATTCTTAAGTTATTTATAATTTACTACTAAGTTTATAATTTATTTACTATTAAACTAAAACAAATTTACTATAAAGCTATTTGTTATTTACTACTAAATTTTCATTGATTTACTATTAAATTATCAATGATTAACCATCAAGTTATCATTTTTTTATTAAGTTATCATTAATTTACTACTATGCTATTATGCATTTATAGTTATGTTATAATTGATTTACTATTAAGTTGTTATGTATTTACTATTATATTATTATTAATTTACTACTAAGTTATCAATTATTAACTATTAAATTATTATTAATATACTATTAAGTTATCACTAATTTACTATATTAAATTATTATTGATTAATTATCAATTTATCAATGATTATTATTAAGTTCTATTGATTTACTTTTAATTTTCAATTATTAATTACTACTAAGTTCTAAATTATTTACTACTAAATTATCATTAATTTATTATTAAGTTATTTATGATTTATTGTTAAATTTTTCAATTAATTACTACTCTCTCTATTTGTCCTAGTTAAATTGTCACAATGGACTTTTTTTTGCTAAAATTTTATAAATTTGACATCTATTATTTTAAATATTTTAATAAATCAAATTTTATAAAACATGTATTTAGAAACCACTTCATTTAAAGTTTTTAAAATATATATTTTTCATATTTTTATCAATAATAGATATAAAACAATAAGTGATTAAAGTTAAAAAAAAAAATGACCAACAAAAATAAAAATGTGGCAATTTTAGTAGGGTAGAGGAAGTATTAAATTGAATCTTGTTTACTATTAAATTATTATTAATTTACTACTAATTTATCATTAATTTACTATTAAGTTATTACTTATTTTTATTAAATTATCCTTAATTTACTGCTATATTATTATGTATTTATAATTATCTATTAATATTTACTATTAAATTATTTGTTATTTACGACTATATTATTATATATTTATTATTATGTTATATTGGCATATAACTATCTTATTAATTATTTACTACTAAATTATTATTTATTTACTATTAAATTATCCATAATTTAATATACAGTTATCATTGATTTAATATAAAGTTATTACTAATTTTGCCTAAACTATCACAAATTTACAATAAAATTATCAATAATTTGCTACTATGGTACTATCTCCATCTTTATTTGTTTATCTTGTATTAACTTTCACAGAGTTTAAGAAAAAAGTTTTGACTTTAATATATTTAATATTAAAATTAAATTTTTTTTATAAAATTAAAGTTCTATGATTTTTAATGTTAAAAAGTAAAAAAAAAACTCATAAAAAATATTTTAAAATATAAAAAAGTAAGAGTTTTAAATGTTTAAAACAAAAAATAATGATATTATAATTTATTTATCACTAAATCCTCTATAATAATTGTATAAAACATATTAATAAGTGAAATGTGTTACAAACACTAAAATATTCATATGTAGAAAAACTATTTTAAATGAAAAAAATAAATAAAAAGTAGACAAT